GTTGGAGCGGCGACGTCAAGTTCGATTTCTCTTTTTGCGCAGTCAATGAGGGCAGAGTGGGCAGAAAGAAAATCCCATCCGAGTATTAATGGGTGGGGACAGCTAGGAATGACCGTAAACAAGACGAAGGTCGTTTGGTGATCAAAAGTTATACGGGAGGCGCACATGCCAATGGAACGTATAACGTGGCCGTCTGCGCCGATCAGTAGTTTGGAGTCTGGTGGTGTCAACGGTTTGTGTAGCTGTCGTCTCAAATCTTCCCTAATTATAGATATGGCAGCTCCAGTGTCTATAAGGGCGAATATACTGGTACCGTCGATTGTAATGGGCAATTGATTGTGGACAGTGGCGCATACGTCGTTTGGAGGATTTGTGGGCAGTGACAGTGATGCAGCTTCACCTCTTGAAGCTGCATGAATTAGTTTTCCGAGCTTCGGGGAGCGCCAGCTGGCGAAATAGGGCGACGAGGGGCGGGTGACAAGAGACTGGCGGCGACGTGGAGAGGAGGAGTGGTGGTAGAGGGGGCGCGATACGAAGCCTTCGTCTTGGAGATGAACAGGGAGCGGGGGTGGGGAGAAACGATCATCGAAGAAGCGGCGGTAACTAAGAGAAGAGAAGGTGCGTGGTCGGTTATTCCATCGGCTACGGCAGTAGCGGGCGATGTGACCAACGGCATAGCAATGGAAGGAGATCGGTTTGTTGTCTGGTGTCCTCCACGCTGCAGGGTCTCGTCGCAGAACTTGACCCTCCGGATTAGTTGCTGTATAAGCTGGGCGGTTGGAGGAAGCCCAGGCTCCACGTGTTGGTGCTGGAACATGAAGTTTATCGATCTCTTGGCGGATCACGGTTTGAACTGTAGATATGGAAATCGGTTCTAGTTCTGCAGCAGACTGGGAAAAAGCATTGGGCGGGAGCATCGCTTCTAGCTCACGACGTACAATTTTAGCGATTTGTTTGTCTGATGTTGGAGTTTCCTCACACGAGGAAGTGGCTGTCGTGTTAGGGAGCCGGGTGAAGTTGGAAGTTATCCGGCGCTTATTGACCTCCTCAAATCGCCGGCATTCCTTCACTAGGGTTTCGACGGCGGAGCAGTCCTTAAAAACAAGAAGTTGAAACGCGTCATCCGCTATGCCCTTGAGGATGTGTGAAATTCGTTCGGAGTCAGCCATGCCCACGTCGGCTTTGTGGCAAAGCGACAAGATGTCTTGCACGTACGCAATGTACGACTCGGTCGAGGTTTGGACGCGGGATGCAAGTTTTCGTTTTGAAGATAGTTTCCGGCCGGTAGGATCGCCAAAGAGGTGTTGAAGTTGTTCCTTAAACATATCCCACGAAGTGATGGTTTCTTCATGGGTCAGGAACCAGGTTCGTTCCGTGTCCTTCAGATAAAAAAATGATGTTGGCCAGCATGATTGTAGGGTCCCATCTGTTGTGGGTACTGATGCGCTCATAGAGGTGGAGCCACTCCTCGACATCTTGGTCTCCGGTTCCGGTGAAATTTCCAGGGTCTCGCGGCTGGGAGAGGATCAGTGGTGGTGTAGGTGTTGTCGGAGTACCTTCGGGTGGGGTACCGGTATTGGGCATTTCGGTCTGCAGTGGGCGGCGGCGGTTTCAAAAGTCCAGGTTGGGCGAGGCATAGAGGTAGGGGGAAAATATTCACCTCCACCAAAATGCTACGTTGATTATGAGATGATTTAATTTACATTGAAGGGGACATAGAAAAAATAAGAATTCTTGTAGGAAATCAAGCGAGCCGCTCTCCTGTCTTCGTCTTCCTTGGTCCACAAATCTCGAGATGCCTTTTTTTCCTCTTCGCATCAATATTGTACCAAAACATTTAATGGACTACCTTGAAGATTATGAATTATTGTTCTGATCCCAACATGATTTTCGTAAAGGACTTTTCACCACAACTTAACTTGTCGAAACTGTCCATGACCTCTCTTATACGATTAATTGTTGCGGTCAAACTGATATGGTATTTTCAGACTTCGCGAAAGCGTTTTGCGAAGTGTCGGAATCTAACCTATTGCTAAAGGTTAACGCCATTTTTTAAAAATCTAGTCATTACACAGTGGTTTTCATCATACCTTTCTTCTAGGGAACAGTTTGTCGAAGTTAAGGGGCATAAGTTTAGCCTTTTACCGGTACAGTGGTGGTCCAGCCATTTTAGGTTTTGGAGCAATTTTTGGAGCAAGAAAAACCCAATTTTGGAGCAATTCGTATCACATAAACTCCCCTTTTGGAGCAGGGAAAAGCTCGTTTTGGAGCACCTTGGTATCAGGAAAACTAAACATTTTGGAGCAGCATGAACATAGAGCAGTTCTGTGCCATGTCTTTATTATTATATATATATTACGGCTGCCCTTGTCAATCTTACCTCACCCCCCATATATATATATATGTCTGTGTGTGTCACGAACATCTGAATTTCATATAGTAATTCACAAAGAAAAGAACTCACCATAAGAAAACCATTTTATTTATGACAGAATATTCTTGCAGCTAAAGCTTAACTATGTAACAAAATATCACAGATGAAAACTAAAACTACTAAGTCCGAGCAAATTTCTACTATGGGGTCTGTAACTTAAAACGCGCATGCAGAAAAAAAAGTACTCACGTTGGCTCATCTTCAAGAGGACTTAGTAGTGGCGATGCAGAAATGAACAGCCACAACGCCGCATATCAAAACGGTCGCAACAAAACAATAATGCCACTGGGCCGGAAACCTGAATTGGATTGTGATGGCTATGGTAACGGCCCTACCCTTTATATCGGGCGGCAGCTTGCGCCATCTAGCCTAGAAAATAAAACTCCCACCGGGTTGCCAGCCGAAAACGCCATTCTTCCAAAAAAGGATTCGTTCACAAACCGACTAGCCCTTTTTGGCGCAGTTTGGCGCGGTTTGGCGCAATTTGTGTCTTTAGGCGCAGCAAGGCGCAGGTAAAGGAGAATTTATCAAAATGGCGCAATTGGCGCAGCTGGACCACCCCTGCCGGTATCTTCAGGGGTTCTCTAGGGGATTTTATTGGGCCCCCCTTTTGTTTTTAATACGTAATCATAAATTACCTGCATAACGACATATCCGTTCCAATCAGACTATCTGCAGATGACTGTGTGATATACCATAAGACAGAAACTCCAGATGACCAGGAAGAACTAAACCGTAACCTACAAAAAATTCAACACTGGTGATAATTGGCAGACGGAGTTCAATCTTGAAAAATCAGTCTTCAGATCAGTATCTAAAAAAAAATATATATATTTTAGCATACAACTATCACATTGACAACGTCGGGCTTGCAAGAGTAAAAGATCATAAGTATCTATAGTCCGTTGCAACTCAAGAAGGTAGGGCGAGGGTAAGACGGGCCAGGGAGGAGGAAGCAGATGGAACGCTAAAGAGAGAAGAAGGTTTCCCCGTCTCTCCAGCGTTCCGTCTGCTTCCTCCTCCTCCTCCTCCTCCTCCTCCTCCTCCTCCTCCTCCTCCTCCTCCTCCCCCCCCCCCCCCCCCCCCGGATCGTCTTACCCTTGCCCTACCTTCTTGAGTTGCAACGGACAATAGGTTTAGTATTAGCACCTGACCTACGTTAGAATACCCACATTGGTAAAGTCTGCCCCAAGGCCAACAAAGCACTTTAAAGTCTCAGGCAAAACGTTCCTAGGGCAACTCCAGAAATAAGAAGCCTGACTTATACGGCCCTGGTAAGACCGATTATTGAGTTTGTGAAAATTGTGTGGTATCCACACACCGTGACCAACTCAAAAAAATTCAGCGACTTGCTTCCAGGTTCATCTTGAACAAATTCGGCCAAGCGTTTTCACTCACAAAACTATGTGAACTCGCAATCTCCCAACTTTGGAATCGAGGACCAAATACGAAAGGTTGAAATTCCTTTTCCAAATTATACATCACTGTATAAAGATCAAAAAATCAAATTACTTCAAAATCAGACCTAGCGAATTCTCAAGGCATCGCCATAGCATGTTCATTCGTAATCCATCCGTATAAAATGATTGTTTTAAATTCATTTTTTTTCCTAGAACCATCGAAAAGTAGAATATGCTGCCTGATTCTGCTATTTCGTCAACATCCCTTAATGCCTTTTTAGAAAGTATAGATAATATTGTCGAGTGTGACAGTCGTGAAAAGCCGTAATTGTACAAATATGTACCAAGTTTCTGTTTTCTTGTGAAATGTTCATACTTGTGCTGCTTTCAGTTTTGTGACTTTTCTTGTTCACTTTTAAGTGTATGAAGCGGTCTTGTGCAATTCATTGTCTAGGTTAATTACTCTATGTATCGTGGTTACTTTTATCTTTCTATTTCTTAATACCCACTCCTCCCTCAAGAACTGAAAAAAATGTTACTATGGTCTGTTGCAACATAAGAAGATGAGGAGAAGACCCTCCCAAAAAGCTCTCCGCTTGCTTTTTCTCCACCATTCACTCTGCTAAATTAGAAAGGGTGGAAGGCCTTGCGGGACGAACTCGTCCTGCGATTCTTAACCTGCAACAAACTATAGAACAGTTTCGCTGCGCTCGGAAAAAAGTTGTATGTGAACATACATGCGATGACTGCGTTCGCTTTCTTTCTGCAATCGTAAAAATGTTTGAAAAACTTTCAGAGAGTTATTTAGAGATCTGATTTCACCAGAAGATATGATCGCATCTTCGTAATCCATGATCAAGAAGGAGAAACGACCAAAATAAAGCGCATTTCAGCTACCTTCCGTTCGGACCTGAGCTAACGGTGAAATGGCGGCTTGAAATGGTTACTTAAAATAGTGCAAGCTCTGCATTTCACAAGCACCATCATGCGATAAAAAAAAAGGTGTCTTTTTGGACAATAATGTACAAAGGATTAAAAGCGATAGATGTAACACGTATGCGCACCCCGCACCAGCCAACCGCAACCGTCTGATACGGAAACCCAGGGAAGGACGTCAGAGGGCGACGTAGCATTCCCGGTGCCCGTCTGCAGCCTTTGGCACTAACCATGGCAGATGCCGAGGAAGCCCTGCTGGTAGGAATTGGGTCAGGAGAAGTGCGGCCGCTGCCCTCGTTTTCGTCAGTCCCAGTCTTGGAAGACTCTGCGGAAGAAGCGGCCGAAGTCAATCGAAGCGGGGATTACTCTGAGTGAGAGCGGAGGTGAGAACAGCTTCGACGTCTCGTGTACTTCCAGCAAGCACACGTAGCCAAAGCGAGGCGAAAACAGCGAGCGCGTGCTGGAGTAAGGGCATTCGAGAGGCACGCCCTGCCCTTCTCATTCTGATATCAAATATACATGCTGATGGTTCTTAGCTCAGTTCCTAAGAACCAATGTGCTTCTCAGAGTAGCTCCCGTGGTTCCACGCACAACCGAAAAACTTCCCACAGCCTTATCTCGTGGCAGTGCGGCACACCATGGATATGCTGCATTATAGAAAAAAAATGCGCAGTCAATCCATGTTACCTCACTTCAAAAATGAATTATTAAAAATCCATACCTTGTCACGAAAAGCGGGGCAGAATAAAAGGGGACATTAAAGAAGCCTTCGCCGGGGCAGCACAATGCGAGCTTAATGCTGCTGAGCATTGGCTGACAAGCTATAGTGGAAGGAAACGGGAAGTGCACGGAGGTAGATTACACTTAGGTGTCTGGTGCCACATCTTAAAAGTATGTATTTCTGTGACCACAGTTTCTCACAAAATGTGCATACCACACACGTAATCTCAACCTGCAAAGTTCAACGACAAACTTTGCCAACCTCCAAAGATGCAACCTCAAGAGAGAATATTTATGCACTTTCAACATTTCATTGACTGAACCACCCCAACATTTACCGTAAACAACTTTATTTTCGTGGGCTCAATATTTCGCGAATGACTTAATTTCAAGAACAATTTGAGGCTACTAAATTCCGCGATTACGAGTGCTACGCCATAAATTCGTTACTACGGAGCGATATATTGGTAAGATAAATTTTTTTTCCAATATTTGCAGGTTGCGAAATTACTGAAAACGAGGTCACCGCGATAATTAAGTCATTCACGTACGGTAATCATAAGCAAAATTTCGCCATGCCCAGATTTAAAGAGTCCTGGGGATCTGTGAGCAAGCAGGATATGTACTATGCGGTGGTGACATAAAGGCAGAAGAGCCCGAGAGAAAGCTCCAAGTGTGAGGCGAGCGGCTATGCCCCAACACTTAGGCACCTGGAACACATCTCCGCCTTCATTGTCTTATACCACCCGTGCACCTATAATGATCCCAAAATGCAATTTCAACCCCACGACGTCGGACTTGCGTCGTGCCGCTGCTCGCCGTAACCTGGAGGAGGCAGAGCAGCAGGTTGAATATAGTAAGAATATTTACAAATCCCCTCGATTAGGTATAGCTGTGCATCTCTATAAGTTTAATTATATGTTCAATGTGCTGTTTACTTAGAATCCAAAAGCATGCATTGGACTTCTTGAGGCCACAGTCAATATATATTATGCATCATTTTTCCACTTTCTGTCTATTAACCTGACTATGATTATGATCAGTGTGACCATAAGTGACATTCTCGAGCCTCCATACATTCTCCGGCCTCCATTGGGATTGGGAAATAAATGCAGAAATGGACAAGTGGAAGTTTGGAAACAACCTTTATCAGTTCAGCTGGGTTTTTGCTGAAGCATGGTTTAGTAGTGAAAGGTTTAGAAAAAGTATTCAATATTCGATTCGAAAATTCTATGAAAACCACTATTCGCTTTTATACCGTATTTACTTGCAGAATGAACACTTTTTTTTTCCCGAAAAATCGATGCAAAGTTGGGGGGGGGGGGGGGGGGGGGGGCGTTCATTACGCGAAGTAAAATTTTTGCATCCGTATTTACTCGCATAATGAACGGACTTTTTATCCTGAAAAAACGAAATAACTTCTTATCCCTTTGCGCGCGGCGCCCGACCCCGTAACCAAACTAAGCTGTGCAAAAAAAAAAAAAAAAAACTCGTTTTCTTTTTTTCTTAATTCCTTAAGTTTTTTTGTTTTTTTTTGCCCCCTTCGCAAGCTGTTTTGTTTGCTTAGGCGTTGCTTAGGCAAGGGCACTCCGCTTATTTTTCTTATCTCCTTGCGCGCGGCCCACGACCTCCGGTAACCAAACTGCGCTGTGCAAAAAAAAAAAAGAAAAAAAGCTCCTCTTTTTTTGTTTTTTTTTTCTCAGTTCCGTCTTTTTCTTTTTTTTTTCTTTTTTTTTTTGCCGTTTTTTACAAGCTGTTTTGTTTGCTCGCTCCTCTTTCTTGCTTGCGCGCGGCGTGCGACCCCCCCCCCCCCCCCCCCCTAACCAAACTGCGCTGTGCAAAAAGAAAAGAAAAAAAGCTCCTCTTTGTTTTTGGTTTCTTTTAGTTCCGTAATTTTTTTTCTTTCCTTTTTTTTTTGCCGCCTTTCGCAAGCCGTTTTGTTCGCTTAGAGCGCTTCTACGCTTCTCTTTCTTACCTCCTTGCACGCGGCGGCGCGCGAACCCAAAGACCAGACTGCCCTAAGCAAAAAAAAAAAAAAAAAAAAAGCCCCTCTTTATGTTTTCTTTTTTTTTTTTTGCTTCCTTGGATCTTTGCGAATTTTTTTAACGCCTTTTGCAAGGCGTTTTGTTCGCCCACGCTGCCCATGCATTCGCGACCTCGCTGCACCAGGATAGAAAAGTGCGTTCATTTCGCACGTGGGGGGAGGGGGTCAAAATTTTGAGATCTGAGTTGGGGGTGCGTTTATTACGCGAGTGAAAAAAAAAAGTCGAAATTTTGAGAGCCGACTTGGGGGGTGCGTTCATCACGCGAGTGCGTTCATTGTGCGAGTAAATACGGTATTTGCTTCAAACTCAAAATCCACTATTTGCACATGTCTACCCTGAACGTTTTGTATAGTGCCGTGCTCAGGCACGGCCGCTCGATGAGAGGACCATCAAGCGGCCATGGCACAGGTAAGCTGACATCGATTAGAAAGGTTGGCAGCTACACAGGATTTCTATGCCAGTCTGGTTGTAGCCTATGTGAAATGCTTGTGCTGCGAGCCACACCACGGTGCCACTGTCTCGTAGCACGCTTCTAAGAGGTAATTATCTCCATAAGCCATGGTCCCCTGCGAGAGTGCAAAAAGGGGACCTCACCCTGCTTCCTGAGCTTGGCCCCCGGGGCCCCCCCGAGGAAGACGTCCCCGTAATGGGGCCTGCGCAGCTCCAGGTCTCCCCGAGATCCCGCCCTGGCCCCGTGGGGCTGCACGGGGGCCGTGAAGCAGGGCACACTGGGGTGCCGGAACTCCCAGAGGGGCTCCCAAATGCGCACCCCATTCTCCAGCCGGAAGCTGCCCACAAAGTCCGACTGCTTCAGGAACGGGATCAGTGGCGCAAACAGGTACACAAACACCTGCGAGCGAAAGGAGAGGGGGATCGGCGGCCAAGAGTGTCAGCGCGATCGGAGCAAGTGGAGGGAAAGCTTCACTGCAGAACCCAGGGATCCTGGGCTCAATCCCTACCCCTGCCCATTTTGATCCGGATGAGCACCGCACCGGCGTGCGGTCGTGCATCACTACTCTGTGATGCACGTTACAGACACCGGGCCGACAGTCGCACTGCACTGAATAAATTTCACATCTAGGGCGTAAACCAACTCCTTCCTTCGCCAGCCTCAAGAAAGTCGCCATTAGTTTGGTACAGATGCCATACACTGAGATGATGATAATAGTGATCAAAGTTGCCAGACTGAATTTTAAAAGGGTTCGTAAAGCAGAGCAGAAGTTTACGAACCTTGTAAATAATGCGTATACTAAACAGTGTTTAGCCTATGCGGAGCGCAAGTTCTTTTCCTCTTTTTCAGGGGTTACGGTGATGCAGAACGTCGAGCTCTGATTGGCTCCTCTGATTGAGGTATAGTGGGTAGACCTCAATCAGAGCCAATCGCAGCTCGGTGTTCAGACGGACGTCACCCCAACCTCTTTGAAAGAAGCAGACAAACTTGCGCTTTGCATAGTTATACACTAATGGGTGGCTCGGGCCTCCTAAAGCACAGTCGAGACTGGTTATAACAAAGTCAACGGGAATCTAAAATCACATCGCTATATCCGCTTCTTCGTTGTATCTAAACTCTATAAAAGTAACACACAAAAAAATAAAAACAAAGATGATAAAGGCCATTGCGGGCACATGTTTATCGTGCTTGCAGAAAGCGGTCGAGGCTTCCCTGCACGCGCTCTCTGCTAGATCGGAGCCGCTTCTCACTAAATGCGAGAAGCTCCAATCGAGAGAAGATCCCGCAGGTATGTACGGATTGTGTCATCAGCTGTGATGGCCGCCCGCTTAGGATGCCTGCAGTGGACGGCACTCTTTACGTTTATGCGCACCTTGTCGAGGATGGCGGCACGCTTGTGTTTTAAGGAGATTGCCTTTGTCGTTCTCGTCAAGGTGCCGGCGGAGCCAAGACTCGTCGCCGTTGAGTGGCGGTAAGTCACCGAATCGGTGCTCGTGCGAAGCTAGACTTTTGCGAAAAGAGCGACCTCACAAACTAGCGACGCCGACACAGAACATGAAGCGCGCACAGCACCAAGCTTGCACTCAAGTTTGTGTTTCATCGGTATAGAGAGCCTAGATTTAAGAGAGGGAGCAACTGCTTGATCGGGCTCGCGTGGTTTGTGGGCCGTATTTGCAAAACGAGCTGCAGTCTGCTAGGTGTCGAAAGCATTCACCATTGTGGGAGCCACTGGTTTCCATCCCCCGTAAAGGCGTAGGCCGCAGATGCTGTGGGCAAAGTCGTCTGGCTTCGAGCCTGGTCTCTCCGTATCGTGGTGGGGAGAGTATGCCACCATGTTGGCCTACCCTCTTGCAGCTAAAGCTTAACTATCTAACAAAATATCACAGATGAAAACTAAAACTACTAAGTCCGAGCAGCGTCTCCCATTTTCGAGGGGTCAGCGAGATCGCAGGGACAGTCGGGCCTGCCCTCCTTCGAGTGGACGGCCGTCTGGTCGAGGAGTCCTGGATTGGACTCCGGGTAACGGGTCAAGTCGCGGCGCGAGCACGTCTAACCGGCGACGACTCAATGCTAGCGTTTCCCCTGGCTCTGACAGTCGGCGTCCGCTCCCCCTAGTGGACCTCCGTCTGCCGAGAGCCCTGGCCTGAACTCCTGCGACGTAAGCTCGGCCTACCGGCGATGACTCCGCTTGCAATTACCCCCTTCGGCTCTCAGGTCGGCACCTGCTGCAGGCACTGTGTCTACGGCCCGATTGACCGCAGCGTCTTGTTGGGGACCCCTGGTTCTCAGCTGTTGGATACTGGGATCATTGTTGTTAGCATGGCGTTGGCGAACCCGGCGTGGCGACCACCCTCGCTGGTAGCCGTCAGCCACGCGGTGGGACGGGCATTAGGTTCCACCTTTGAGCACTGGTCCCCGAATGTAAAGGTACATAATACAGTAAAACCTCGTTATAACAAAATGGGATATAACGAACTAATGGATATAACAAAGCATTCATAATTCCCCTTGCTTGCTAATAGGGAAGAAATGGACATTGGCTATAACAAACTAATGGTTATAACGAAATAATTACGATCGCTCCTTCAACTTTGTTATAACGAGGTTTTACTGTACTTCCATTCCCCACCCCATCTGCAAATGTGTCCACCTCTCTGCCCGGTTGCCTTGCCACACTATCCACAAAGAACCAAATGCAGGCGCCTTTGCAGCAATCTGCCCAGGAACCGTCCATTATTATATTGCAAATGCTCTCCCTGGTTGGGGTTGCTCCCTCTCTTAAATCTAGGCTTATCTTCGTCGTGTCCGTTGGTATGTATCGGTACGTTGTCGCTAGCGCTCCGAATGCCCCACCAGCATGCCAGGAAGGCTTCTCCACCTGCAACGCGGAAAAGTTGCTTTCCAGATAAGGAGTGGGAGCAGACAATGATGCAGAGGCTGCCGCCAGCAGCCTTTGCAGGTCACGTCTGCAGCCCGTTCTGAATGGCTGCTCGGTCACGGCAGCAAGTGTGGCGGTCTGCAACTTGGTAAATTTTTCGAATTTGATTAAATCTCTTAGATTATAGGAAATTTCTTTTCGCTATTTATGCGGAAGCTGCTCATTTTCTTTCGCTAAAAACAGACACGAATAAATTAAAAAGTGCAAACGGGAATAAGTAATCATGATCACTTCACTATAGCCACTATGTTGTTGTAACTGGCTGCGTTATAAACTGTCTCGACAGTAGTGCTTAAAAGCAGACAAACAAGTAAAAATGAGGGAGACGCCGCCGATTACTTTTTTTCTTTCAGAAAAAGCAAACCATATCTCTCTGCAAGAAATATCCCAGACCCGCTTTTTTTGGGGGTGAGGGGGAAAGAGAGTGAGCAGAAATGAAGGGAAGGACATTGGGGAAGTGTTTTCTTCCTGGCAGAAAACACTGCTTGCACGTCAGCCTTCAACTTAAAAAATGCTTCGCTTAGAGTTGTTGGTGAATTCGTGAGTTTATCCAAGAACGCCAGCCCCTCATGTATGTTGCTGTTGAAAAGACGTAGTGAGTTCATAAATTTGGTCGGTTCATGAGCTTGTTGAGTTTATGACTTCAGGGAATTCATGACTTTGGTGAGTTCACGAGTTGGTAGATTTGTGAATTCATGAGTTGATCTGATGATGCTGACCCCACCTGTATGATGCTGTTTAGAAGACATAGTGTGTTCATGAATTCAATGAGTTTATCAGATCGGTGAGTTCATGAGTTTTGGTTAGATCATGAATTGGGTAAATTTGCGAGTTTGGTGAAATTGGGAGTTTGGTGAAATTGGGAGTCCGATGAATTCGTAAGTTTGGTGAATTTGTAAGCTGATCCAAGGAGGGCACCTGTATAACGCTGATGGGGAAGACGTAGCGAGCGGGGTCGGGGCCCCCGGCGTGCTCGGCGTCGCTACACTCCTCAGCCGCATCCAGCAGGATCCAGTGGAGAGTGTAGAGCAGCTTGGTTTCGGCCGAGCCCAGCTTCTCCAGGCAGCTTTCCTTGCGCGCATGCAGCAGCGCAGCGCAGCAGTGCATCACGTGCGGCAGGGCTGCGCGCACCAGGCGCCACCTGCGTCCGAACGGCGCTAAGCAAGGCCCCGGCACCCCGAATGCCTCGGCCGCAACGACGTCAAACCCAAGCCTACTGTTACAGGGCCCCCGGAACGCGTCTCCAAGTGGTGTCTTTAGCGCGATATTCTGCCCACACGTCCGAAGTGGTACCGAAGTGGCAACAAATGACGACACAAAAGCCGGAGTGTCAGGCTGCCGGATGTCGCAATCCTGGCAGTGGGAAGTAGAAGTTCCGGAAAAAAAGTGTGAGAAAACATGAATGTCACGGTTGTCGCAGTGTCTTGGACGCTATTCTCGAGAAAGCAGTTGACAATACTAGGATTCTGCGAATATTTGAATATTTGAACAGAAGTTTTTAATAATACGCCATTTGATATTTGCTTTCGAGATTTGCGAGTTTTGTAAGTTTTGTCAACTGATCCAAGGATGCCAGCCCCACCTGTATAATGCTGAAGGGGAAGGCACAGTGAGTGAGTTCAATAAGTTCATGAGTTGGCAAGTTCATGGGTTTGATAAATTTTAGTGAACAATCATATTTTTTTTAAGCGTTTATCGCGGCAGGTTAGCTTGTTGAGCATGCTTCTTACTGAGCACCCATGCGCTGCGGAGAAGCAACACCCAAAAAGCTCGCTTTCGCGAATGCTGCTTTTCCGCAGTGCACCGGTGTTCAGTAAGAAGCACACTCAACAGGACGAACCCGCCGCAAGACAGTCGATAAATATAGCAGTTGGATTAAAACTAACTTCCTTTAGAAGTGGAGAAGGGCAATCTTGGGAACAAGCTTCACGACTTTGCTGGGTTTTTGTTTTAAGCATGGTGCAGCGGTGACAGGCTCAAAGAAATTATTCAATATTCGATTTGAAAATATTCGGCCAAAACCACAATTCGCTTTGAATTTGCTTTTAACTCAAAATCCACTATTCACACATGCCTAAACAAGACACAGGTATATGGCTGGTTCGAGTCACTTTGAAGCACCTTTTGAAGAAGCTCCTTTTGAAGCAGCAAAATTAACTTTTGGAGCACACAGATGCAGTTTATTCTCATTCATCTGACCGCAAATACTTTGTCGGCCAGTCAATCCCAAAAAGGAAATGCCTTCTTGTTTCGTTCATAAGATGACTCAGCAAAAAGAGAAGTGGGGTAACCCAGAGAAATGAAGTCTCAGTTTGCATGTTCAAAAAGCTTGATTTGGAGTTCTCCAAAATTTGTTGTCATAGTTTGACTTTTGTAAGCTGTTTCTAAAATCTCGACATGCACAAATGCATTTCAGAGGCCCTTTCATTCGCATTATTTTCTATGTTCATTCAAAGTATGATGCTCAGACAAGACAGGTGCTGATCAGAAAATCTGTAGGGGTCCCAGAGCATTTCTTACGCAGTAAACCAAACCATAAAAATCAGTGCTTGCACATAGAAAGCTCGAACTTTCACCAAATGTGCATTTAGGTGGCGGATCTTACCTCGTGAAATTTAAAGGCGTAGCTTTTTTTTCTGGAAAAAATTAGACCAACAATCTCGCAAAAGCCAATGTCAGACGTCTCCGCAGACGACCGAGTTAGCGATGATAGTAACTCGAGGCGCCATACCCTGTTAGGTGCAGCAAGCAGACAACTGAATGTGTCGTCTGCTCGCTGCACCTACTGGAAAATGGTGCCACAAGTTACATGCCACACTGACTCGGTCGTCTGCAAACACAACCGCCCATGGCTTTGGCAAGTCAGTTGGTCTCAATTTTTTACAGGAAGAGAACTATACCCTGAAATTTCACAAGGTGAAATCCACCACCTAAATGAACATTTGGTCTGAGCTTTCCATGCTCAGGAACCGATTTTTCCAGTTTGTTTTACAGCGTCAGAAACACTGCGGCCAGCCTACAGAAGCATACCTATACAGGGTCAATTCGTGGTTTCATCATTCATACGTGGGTGGTGGTACTAAAAATGGCTGGGTACAAACCTTCTGATGCTTTTGATGGCAACAGTCAGACTGGGTGATAGGCCAAACTGAATGTTTTGCACCAGAACTTTCTCAAACGACTGAAAAAACGAAGATGTAATGTTACAAAACGATTCTGCGTGGTTATATAAAATGCAAAAGCTAACAATGAATATATATACCTTGCATGCTTCTCGTTGTTCCTGTAAGCAAAAAAAAAAAAAACAAATTATTGAACACCTAGGCACACTTGTTGACAAAAGACACCTTGACTCACCATCGCCGATGCATCGTGGGTCTTGCCAATTTTCGGGCGTATAAAGGGACTGCATTGCCAAAAGAAATCAAAACCAATTACATGCCTCTATCTGTAACAATACAGCCTACTGTTATGGTACAATGAAAACAAAAAAAAATGTCCTATTGATTCATGGGCGTCGGCAGGATTTTTTCCTGGTGGGGGCAAAACTTTTGCACCCGACGTTCTTTTTTTTTTCTTAACTTGGGGGGGGGGGGGGGGGGGGGATTGGGGGTGCAACCGATACATTGCCGCAACAATTTTACAACGTATTATACGTATAAGGTTTTAAAACAAATGTTGGCATAAACAGTGTTTAGTTCGCAGTCACAATCGCTTATGTAAAAAGGCCCCTGACATCCCCGGACGTAAAACTCGTGAATAGTGAACGGGGCATGAACATATCAGGACCCTTCTGTTATCGCTGATGAAGGGACCACCAGTCATTTATTAATTTATTAGATTCTGCAACACAACAACTCAATAAAAAGTAAAATATATATTCTTGAATGCCCATTCATATACTTTCAAAACACGAGGAAATATGCGAGCAAGGAAGCTTGTGTACAACGTTTCGAGCCTTCGAATAAAATCCAGTTCAAAGATCCCATCGACGAACTACAAGACATTTTAGTTTCCCCATTGAAGAGCCTGTCTTTTCATAATACCCAAAATATGAAGAGAGAGAAAGCTAGATAACACCAAAATGAGTGTGCGAGCTTTTAAGCTACACCAAAAAAACCCATCATTCAACTTTTGATAATACGAAGTCATAAAAGCTCAAGATTTATAATAGAGAACCACACCGAAAAGAACCAATACCCTAAATACAAAGTCCACAAATGCAGATACCCCAATTATAATTTGTTTCCGGGCGCCTGGTATCACTAACGTTTTTAAAAAGCTTTTTTTTTAACAAATGTAGTTGTTTATTTATATATTTTTTTTCAATAAGTCTCTCCTTTATCACCTCAACTGAAAATTACAGTTAAGGGAATTTACATAAATAAATGGGGCTCCTCCTGTTTCATTTGAGAATAAAAAAAAAACAAAAAACATGATGTTATAGCGCCGTGTGCTATCTTTGCGCGGATCTTGTATTTATCTGGTCAACTTTAGTTATGCCTGGAAATCTCTCTAGGCGTACCTGTAACAGATGAGTTGAGGGCGAATCCCATTTCAAGCTGAAGTTTGGAGGGCAGAGGTTGCTTAGGACTGACTGGGACAAGGATTGCCTCAATCGAATCTGACTCCGAGTCCCGGCAGGGGTCAGAGGTGACTGCTTTCTTCGTCCCACAATATGGAAAGCAGTGATCGATGTGATCTTTTGGTAAGACGAAGACACCGATGGAGAAATCCAGAGCTGGCAAAATAGTGACTCTCGCTACAAACTTTCGGAAAGAAAAACAACCGTACGGTTGCGATTGTGGACTGGGCTGTCTCTGACGCGCCTTTCTCTGGTTTCAAACGGTGAGACAGTAAATTATGGCCCGAGGGTCAGTTGCGTTGACGACTTGGTGCGAACATGGTTTCGAGCAAACGCGGATGCCCGACGCCCTCCCCCCAACCTGCTCTAAAGGTCATGTTCACAGTCGCTCATGGCTTGCTCTTCATGGAATCGTCTCGAAAACACAGGCTTTATTACCCAGGCTGGAGAGCCCCGTCCTCGAGGCCAAAACTTGTCATTGATGTGTCAGCTATGCGGCACTCGGCGCGGCTTTTGCAAAAGTAACCTGAACCCCTGCGTCCTCAGCACATGGCGCGTGGAGTTGGAAAAACACAGTTGAAATTGCCGTTGAAATGTCACGTGAGCTAGGCTAGCGAAGTTGAAAAAACGGGGTGCGTTTGGTATTTGCTCCGCGAAGATAGTTATCGTTATTTTCCTTTTCCCTTGTCACGACTTTTTCCAACCACCCTATGATGTCTGCACGGCCCCCGGCACACGACGATATTGAGGGAATATTTCCGCGGACAAATGAATGCGGATGTACGAGTGTGCAAAAATGAAAGGGCCCAAAGGGAAGTTGAAAACTTGTTTTTCGGGCCGTTTCACTAACTTTTTACTCGGGGCTGGAGTCATTTTACTCGGGGCTGGAGTCACTTCATCACCACTGGGTGTTCATTGCGGGGGATCGCGGTGTTCTCAGAAATGGGTGCGCCCTCAGCGAGGTGTGGTGTCGCAGAGGCAAAAGTAGGGCTTGGTTGCCCTTTTCTTTCCAATTGTTTCTTCCACGGAATGCGGGGCAAGACATCGCCTTTTTTTTTTTATGTTTCGATAGTTACTCTCGATTTTATTTTTAAATTGTTCTCGGTTGTTGTTTTCGCTTGTCAGTCACCCGCTTGCTTGTAGGAAAAGGGGGGGGGGGGGGGGGGGGGGTAGTCTGGCTTAGGGGTGGCAACTGTACCTTTTGCACCCCCCTGCCGACGCCCATGTATTGATTTAAACAGCTAGAATTCTTGGAGATCACTGGTTGGCATTGTACAAAAATAAGGCAGCACCTATTCCGCTGCCAACCCGGAGAAGAACAGCTAGTTACCAAAACTTTTGCTCGCAGTCACACCTCATTGGCTACCCAAGACCATGTGACAACGAAAAACATAAGGGCCCCGGATACGCCGCTGATTTATCGCGAGTGTTTGTTTTTGTTGCTTTTTCTGACGGCTAGCGCGGAATTTTCTGCTTAACAGGATGATTTATTTTGCTGCGCCGCAATGACAGGCAAGCTTACGTTTTTACACGATACGTTACTCTTTTTATTTACGTTACCGTTAACTTGCAAAATGTACCACCTTCATAAACCACACGTATGTAGCACTTCTGTCTTCTTTTTCTTTTCAATAAGTGCGAAGCATAAAAATGTGCAAAACATGTCATTCGGTTTCTATTTTATGCCGGATATCTTTGAGAAGAAACTGATAGCTCCTCACAAAGGGTTAAAGACTTGACTGGCTCAAATGTTCATCTACAGCAATGACACCACTCCCGCTGTCTCAAGGTGCACAAGAGAGAATTGCTAGGACATGCGGCGCACACGAAAGCGGCGCTCCCTGACCTGGTCTGTCGCCACAGGAAGGTCTGGATGGGCAGCGGCACGGCCAGCTCGTCGGGCTCGCTCTGGTCGTCCTCGAGCTTGCGCTTCGGCATCCCGGCTGCGTGCTCATGGAACCGCTCGGTTCACTCTCTGTCGTCGAACGGGTCGTCGTGATGCGGCCGACAGGGAGAACGGCGGCGGGAGTTGAGGGAAAGGCATCGGAGGAAGCCCGCTCCGCCGCTTCACCTGTCGTCATCCATCTTGGCTATCTCTCGGCGCGGAGGCGCGGAGGCGGAGGCGCGGAGCGGATGGGGAGCTAAAGGATCAACCAAAGTAAAAAAAAAAAAAAAAAAAAAAAAAAAAAAAAAAAACGCCGCTATGCTTTCGTTTTTTGCGATGATGATAGAACTGATAGAACTCTGTTCGAGATAAGAGCGAGTGACGAGTCGCAAAAAACTTACATGAGGCCGGAAATAAAAATTTATTAGTGCCTAAATTAATAATAATAATGTTTTATTCGGTTTCTAAAACCCGGGTGACAGTGAGAAGGCTATTGCCCATGCCATAGGGGCTCACTGTACCCACTACACACACACACACACAGATACAAAAAAAGAAAGAAAGAAATGTTTGTACACTGGGATTTGGGTCTGATTGAGTGTAACTGGTGTCACATCACAGTTCTTTGAGGTGGACGGTTGCACATTTGCACAGTTCTTTTAAAGGGATACTACAACGAAATTTCGGCATTCATTTTTTGATCTATGTGTGTTCAAAAAAGCAGCATCAGATCGAACATACCAATATCTTGTTAAAAAAGTCACGAAAAGGAATTTTAAAGCGAATTAAATGATTAGCAAAGAGCACCTGGTGGATGTCGCTAACGCCTCGCTTGTAATGCCCGTCTAGGAACCTTGACAGCTAGTGACGGAGGTTGTCTCGTCTCCAGCCACGACAAGAAAAGAGGGGCAGGAGGAACTCCCCTCTTCCCGAGAACGTCTTTTGTGTTCGCAGAAGTCGCTATTGTCCCCCTACAGGATTAGAGAAGATTAACCCGTCACATCAAAATTCGTACAAAAGCAGCCGCTTCGGTGACTGGAACGACTAGGCCATCCTCTCGACGTCAGCCTCGCCGTAGCTTTGCTCATCCCGAGACGACCTACGTCACGATTGCGTCGGATGTCACGTGGTCTCCGCTGGGCCTTCTCCGAGCGCTTGCCAGAGTGGGCCGTTTATAACGAAAAATACAGCCACCAAGCTAAAAATACAAACATGCGATTGTCATTTACGGATATTGTGGATCATATTCAACCTATTTTTGAACACAACGGGAATATTTCGAATTTCGTTGAACCATTTCTTTAAGTCCTCTTTGCTTTCGAATGTCCCTTGTGTGACCTCACTCGGGAGGGAGCGCCAGAGCTCGATGGTTCTCGGAAGGAGTGTGCTTCTGTGACGCTCCGTCCGTCCAAGGAGGGGTTGTGCTTGTCGACGCGGTTCTTCCTCACATACTCTATAGTCCGCGACAACTTTTCTTGGCAATGCAGTGGAAGGTACAGGCCCGCGTCCCCTCTCCCATTTTCAGTGTGCGCAGGCTCTCCTCTTCCCCCATTTTCGGGGGGAGGAGGAGAGCCTGTGTACACTCAAAATGGGAGAGGGGACGCGGGCCTCTACCTTCCACTGCATTGCCAAAAAAAGTTGTCACGGAGTTTAGAAGAGGTGTAGGAGGGCCACCCAGCGTGCAGGCTAGGAGGCGAAGCGAAGCCACCTGCCTACGGACAGACAGGTAGTTCCACCCCACACTTCTGAGAAGTTCATTAGAGAGTTTTTTAGTAATACGTATCGCCTCAGCTGTGGTGGTGATTGGCGACGCAGGATAGCGTAGGCCGCGTGCCGTTGTACACTCGACCTGTCTGGGGCTCCACACTGACGAGCAGAACTCAAGCTGCGGGAGCACTAGTGCAGTGTATAAACTCCGCAGTGCTTTTGGGTTGACTCCCCTTGACACTCGTTGTATGAAGCCCCAGCGTGTGTCGCGCTCGTGAGACGCACGCTGGGCTTTGTAAAATACAGTGATGTTTGTTTATGGTTGTAGTTAGAGTCTAGTTGTGGTAATGTACAATTTTGCTACACCGTGGTCACGGCAGCAGCTGCGACCGGCTGCGACGCCGGCACCGTAGCCTGCTGTGGTTTCCACCAACGTTAGTTTCCACCGCACTTGTTTTGCTGCAGAAGCAGCGTCACAACCGTAAAATCGCAAAAATTTGCTTGCGATTTCCCCGATACGACGGTCAGCCAGTTGGGCACCGAAATGCCGAAATCCCAAAATTTTCACCATGCAGTTTTTGTAACTGAAAAATCGCAAGTAAAATCGCAGCGTATGTCTCAAGCAAGAATTAAAAATATCCCAAAAGCTACAAAAGTAAGCCACCAAATTTCGATGCCATCTTCAACAAAAAAGTGGCCCACTAATCTGGTAACACCGGTGCTGTGTCAAAGGGAAAAGTATGTGGACATGAATATGCGGTGTGCCCAACTATAGAGGTGGCCACGTTGCAATATTGGTGAAGCCTAGTCCTAAAAAGTCTAAACGATTTTGTGCCCAGCGTGACCGCAGATCTGTCTGGTGATTGGTGCGCGTGACATGTCACGTGTGAGACGGATGGTTGATTGTAGGACTCCTTGCAGGCTTGTGCGCGCTCCGTCCGGTAGGTTTTATCAGATCGAAGGCTAGACTGTGGTGTATTCTAGTACCCCATAGCAAGACGAAGGCTAGCTACGGTCACGTGATGTGGTCACGTTGGCATGGTAAGCGAGGAGAGTAAGGAGGAAAATAAGAAAGCGAGGCGTCAAGGGAGCATGGCTTGTGGGGGCTACGTGGCCGACGTCATGCCCTCTCCTACCCTTCTATCCTCCTTGGGTGTGCCACATGCCAAGGGGAAGACCAGACAGTAATACATGTGGTGTTGCACAGGGCTTGCTCCCGCTGTCCCGGAGGGGTCGACGAATTTAGCTGGAGAACTGGGGCTTGCAGACGAGAATGGAATAATGAATAACTGCACTTTAATATCGACGAAGAGATTGGAAAACTGGTAAAATTATCTAGGTAGAATTGAATGACGTACATCTAGCACAGCTGGGAACAGGCGGGCAGAGGAAAATTGGGACTCCCTCCCACGTGGCTCCAGCCCAAAGTCTCAACCCTGTCTCCCAGTGGGCCCAGTGTTGACGTAATGCCGACTTGACCAGAGGAAAATCGACGACCCACCTCGTTGGGGGCAGGAGGCGGGGGGTGGCGTTTTTAGTTTTTTTTGTCCAATTCCCCAAAGATTATCCTGGGGATATTCCACACCAGCTGCAGTGGTTATATTTACAAAATTGCAGAGTGGAAGCAAACTGGCTTAGAAGGGCGAGGAGACAAATCATACTTTGGGTTTTTAGTTTCCAGGCTAAGTGACTTAAACTACAGTAAAACCCGTTTAGAACCGATCCACGTACAGCGAATTATTGTCGATATCGAACTCACGGAAAATTTAAATAAAAATGCATGTAAGAAGTAATTTCTATAACACACGACATATTGGCTATATCAAACTTTTTGCCCCCGGGAAGGCTTCCAAAAACGCGCAAAGAATCGTCTTATAACCTGTCTTACCCCCCCCCCAAAAAAAAAAGTACTAGGAAAGAAAGAGAATTCCAAAAGCTTAAGTTGTGAACAAAATTAAGCGAAGAGAAGCGATTCAGAAGGGGAGAAAGATAAAAAATATTCTGTACGCATGCGCAGGAAAAAGAAACTTAATATCAAAACGGTTGCCTACGAAGAGAAGCTCTCGCCTTACAACGAACGCATCGTGGAAGTTTGTTCTAAATGGTTTTTGCTATATCGAACTGATCGAAGCGTTTCCTGCTGTTTGTTTGAATCGGTTTGACCGTACTGCCCATTATAAAGCGTACTGCAGCTATTAGCATTCATCCATCCATCTGTCACAGCACTCCTTTAGCAGCTAAGCTATTTATTCTAAGGTAAGGCAACCATATAAAGAACTTGAACAAAACTGTTTATAGTTAGACAAAGATTAATATCAGGAAAAGAATGAATACAATAGGGATTGATTAAGTAGCGCAGTTAAAAGCACGACAGATGTTGTGGTGCACAAGAACTTCAAAAAGAGCTGTAGCCGCTGAAGTGGCCCAGCTCCACGTCAGACTGCAGCCAACAGTTCTCCGCTTCTTCTGTGTCCTGGAGGTAACCTTCCAGCTGCCGGAGCTCTTTCAGGACCCTTTGCGCATCGGCTGGTCCCACTCTCTTCAGCGTGGCAGCGGGACGAGGACTCTTGCCGTCTGCCTTCATGGACTTCTTCAGGTGATGCAAGACTTTCTCCGACGTAATCAAATCCGGGGGCGGTGCAACGCCAATGACGCTCGAACTGTGGACATGTGAACTGTGGACTGTCGTGACCAGAACTGCTGCCGGGAAAGGAAGTGAGGCGAGGTGTGCTATACAGATCGCGTCCTCTTGTTTTTCGTCACTGTCCGTAAGGAGTAACACGGGCGGTATGGCCCGGCTCTTTGTCAAAAAGGAGGGCCCAAAGATGTCATCCGAGGCAGCTGCAGCGGCGGCAATTGCCTTGTTTTCTTTTCGCACCTGAACGCGTCGCTTGAAGGTTTTCTTCTTTGCAGTGATTACGACGGGCGGTGTGGCACTTAACTCTTGTTGCAAGTTGGCATCTTTCAATGGTCTCTGTCATTCCTGCTTGACTGTGTCTTTTTTACCTTGACATGCTCTCATGTTATCCCCAGTTGTAGACACCTCAGTCCTGGCACTGCTCTTGCCCCGTCTATTGGGTTCGGCACGACAGCTTTCCATGTGATTCAATTCCATCGCAATTTTGTTTCTACGCTCTCCGTTGGCTGCAGCAGTTCTTTTTCTAGTGATTAGGTTGCCTTGGCTTGCTGCCTTCCTTTCCGTCTTCTTAGAGCTGGCCTTTTTCTTCTTCACGCCAGTGCAGTTTTCATCCGTTGTGCATAAAGAAATCGAAGCACCACCAATAGAGCATGCTTTGTCCGACTGCTTGCCATACTGTTCTGTGGATGCGAGATCCAGTCTATCCAACATCACAACAGGAACTCGGAATGGGTCGCATAGATTTACCATGACCTCGCCATTGCATCTCTTTCTACCACCAGTCAGGTTAATGCATCGGTCCTTATAGGCTTGCCTCTCATTTCCTTCTGCCAAATGCTTCTCCCACAGTACCTTTTCATTTAAAT